TTCGATCTCCTTATTATATTAGAGTTAGTAATTGTTTACCTAAGCAGTATAAGGATTCAACCTTATAATTATATAGAATTTTAGGAATTATAAGTTTAGTTTATTTACTCTAGTAATTCTTTTAGTAATATAGAAGGCTATAGCCGCCTCCTAATAAAAGGTCTAATTATACTAATTATAATTAATTTTACTAAGGGGTTTAAAAATATTAATAAATTTAGTTCGGGCGAACTTCTTTACTTTACGGTTATTAAAAGCGGTAGACTTATTAAAATTATTATATTACTTATATAAATTAATACGTTTAGTAAAGTTAATCTCTTAATAATTATTTCTAATAGTTTCAAATATCTAGCAACTTAATATAATCTTCTTAATATTTAAGTTAAAGAAAGTCTTAACTTCTATACGCTAATCCGACTTCTTAATTATATAATTACAATAGTCGCGCTTATAATAGAAACCGTAAAATTTAGCAGCAATAAATAAGGTAGCCTCCCTATCCTTTTTAACTTCTTTAGTTTTTCTAGCGGGAAGTTCCTTTTAGTAATTATCAATATTAGGTTCTATTAATTCAATTAGCTAAGGAATACAGTTATTTAGGTTAATATATTTCTAGAGACCTAGGTCTTAAGCTATAGAAATGAAGGTATCTTCCTAAACTAGCTAATCCTTAGGGCCATTAAGAGTAACGCTATTAATTTTAATTGTAGATATTATTAGTAATTATTTAATCGGTTATTGTTATTAGCGATAGCTTTAACAGTCGAATCAATAATATTCTTAATTGTAATATTATTGGTAATGATCGATATAGAGTTCAACGTGCCTTGATTATATATGTATGTAAAACTAGCTCTACAAACTCGAAGCTCTAGCATTTAGGTAAAAATCCCGCATATCCCAATCCAGCTGGGCACGTACACGCCCAGTGGATCCCCTGGCCTCTAATAATTGTCGGCCGCGTGGGGGATGAAGTGAGCCGACCTGGGAGTGCCCGCATTGCTGCGCTGCAAGAGGTCTCATGCACACCACACCTGCACAACTGCACACCACACGGGCAACTAACCGCTGAAGAAGATCCGATGGCTGGCAGCAGCATTTGATCCTGCCTGAAGAACCCCAATTCCAACTGAAGGAAAGCACCGCAACGCCTCGCTTGGCCGGTGTCGTTCGCGGTACCCGGACCTCTCTGTCGTGCCTGCCCACACTTTCCCCAGACCGTCCAGACGCGACCGCGACGGGGGCCAATTGACTGTCAAGGATCAGGGTCACAGACCCCACAATTACCCACAACCCGCTGTGCGGAGAGCGGGTCTGTGTACCCACACATCGGCTGCTGAAGACTTCAACTTCATTCTCTTCAATTTCTCTTCTCGAAAATGAGGGTTGATTTCGATGAAGTCCCATGACCCTAGGTATCCCAAGATCTATGACATACTATTCCTTTTCGTTTCTTTGCGACGGACTGTCAATCTGAATTTTTCTTGTAGTCAATACCATAGCTTGGCCAAGTTGTTCCAGCCCCCAAGAGCTGTCTTGCTCTTCAGCGGGGTATTATAGCAAGCCCCACAAATGAAGTTGAACCTCACACGCGGTGACTTGGGCCGGGCGTGGGGGTTCATTATGTCTCCTTTTGGCACTTTTTCTTCTTTTCCTCTAGGGCTGTATCACAGACGGAATACCCAGTCATATCAATGCCTCCAATTTCTTTCCTACTCGAACCGTATTCAAGCCTCGATGCTTTTTCTCTCTTCTTTCATATTGATAACGAAGCCGGTGCCCACCCCTGCTCATTTCATAAAGATGCGAGCCACCCTTCTGCGATAATATGTGAGCCACAGAAGACTTCGAACACTGATGCTGTGATGCGGCGTGTGCCTTATGTGCCCTCTAGTCGCCAGCTATCTCTACGAGAGATCCAAAACAACTTTCCGCGCTTTCCGCGCTTGATATCCCATCTTATCAAGAGGTAAGCACTGAAGCATTTCAACACTCCCTTCTGCCATGTCATCCAAGCCCAGGGCACCTTTTTGCCAAATATGTCCATCAATTTTATGCACCTAACAGAACAGAAAAACAAATGCCATGAATCTTGTTTATGTGGTATCGTCCAACACCTGAAGCCTCAAACTTTCCCAACAACCATTCTTTCGTCTTTCCTAGTTTTGCGCCGACCCAGAACCCGAAGCCTCAGAAGTGTCACCAACAGACATCTTGAACTCGACGTTTCCATCATCATCCACCTTCAAGCCCTCAGCAGCGGCCTTGAGCCCTTCGGCCGTGTTCTTGTCCTCAAGACCACCCGCCTGCTCAAGGAAGTAATCCACCACGTCGTGCTTCTCGCCGAAGCTGGCCAGGTCCAGAGGCACGTAGTTCTTGTCGTTGGCCAGAGCCGGCGACGCACCAGCCGCCATGAGCAGCTTGATCACGTCGAGATGGCCACCGAGAGCGGCCCAGTGAAGACCAGTGTTGCCGTACTCGTTGGCGGCGTCAAGGTACGCCTGCTTCTCCTCCTTTGGCCGGGAGGTGAACTCTGAGAGGATGAGAGTGACGATATCTGGTCGATGATGTTAGTTTTGGAAATTCACACACTCATATTTGTATCAGAGGGGTTTCATCACACATACCCAAGTGGCCGTTGCCCGCCGCCATGTGCAAGCAAGTCGACTTGCCCTCATCCTTTGCGCTTGCAAGGATCTCTGCGACCGAAACCTTCTCTCTTTCGGCAAGCTCAGTGAGCGTGGTGGTCAAGTCATCCTTCTCACCCGCGCGGGCGAAATAGATGAGATCGTCAATCTCCTCCTCGTTCAACTGGGGGGCCATGTTGTTGATGATGATGAGGTGGGGTTGTGTAGAAATATTTGGTTCAGTTATATGAGTTGAGGGATGTCTGATGCTGGATATCGCCGAGCAAACGGAATGAATGAATGAGAGGCCTAACGGAATGGTATTGTAGGGAGTACTGGCAACTGGCAGACTGAAATCAACAACTGACATCAGAGAGACCCTGCTGTCGTTGCCTCTGCAAAATTTTTGGAGGGGTAAATTTTTGGCCCAAACTGTGCGCGATTCCAGATGCGACCTTCACACTGTGCTCCACCTTCCGAATCTGTCCCTTTTACCCATTCACTGCCCACTCAGCAACCAACTTATATGCACTGCATGTCCGTTTCTTGAACACTCTTCACTCACAAGGTCTCTTCAGCCGTTGGACATCATGAAAAAACTTGGATGATCTTCTGAGAAGGTTTCTCCAGATATTGAAACATTTTGTTTGCAGCAAAATACCTATCGTCGGCGTCATTCCGGTCTTCAATTATCGAAAAGCCATGCATGCTTGCTTTCTTCTCCTTCGTCGGTTGATATATCGACTTTGTCAAAGACCTCAAATTCTTCGGGCTCTGAGCCAACTTGCACACAAAGAACATGACAACTTGAAGATCCATGGTTCGGATGCTTATTGCTCCTGCCCATATTGATAGAGAGGGGAAGCCGAACAGCGCAATCCTGGATCAGGAAGGAGCCATGGCAAGTACGCCTGCGGCATTCTCCAGCGAACGTGCCGTATTCATGTCATGTCACTAGGCAATTATCCAATGACATACATCCTTTTGTTTCTGCTATAGTTCGGCTTTCGTTGAGCATTCAGGCATAACATATTCAGCTTTACAACAACCCATCCTCAAAATGACTACCTCCGATCAGTCTCCGGCGGACGACAAGAGAAACCCCTCTGCTAAGGACAAAGATGCTCGAGCCAAAGTTGAAAGTCAACAATCACACCCAAACCCGGTCCATCTTGAACAAGTCCTCAGTATGAGTGTGCCTCCCACTCCGACCCAGAGCGCCTTCGGTCAATCTTCGACACCCGCTATACGGCCAAAGAGAGACAGCCAGCCGCTCCCCTCGTATCAAATGCCAACCGAGGCATCCAAGAGAAGAGCTTCCAAGAGTTTAACTGGACCAGATGAAGAACCACAGCCACAAGAGACAAACCCCCATCAAGATTTCAGAAATTCTGGCACCAAAATCTTTTGCTGGCGAAACGGAGAACTTCCTGAAAGCATCTACACTTCCGACCAACGTTCGCAAAGCCCGCATTTCATGTCGAGTACCGCGGCATCGAGAGCTAAACAGCTACCTCACAAAAACACAGTTTGTCACCTAGAAGTCAGACATCACAGTAGACTCAAGCGACGAGATGTTGATGCCGCATAGGGTATCTATCGTATTGTTCATGGACGAGTCCGCAAACTTTCACTAGACGACTTTCCGAATCATGGGAACATAGAGAGAGACTGGACACAAGTCATCCAGATGAGCGACAAACCCTGTGTTTCTGAAAAGTACGACATTGAATCTCCCGTTTGCTTCAAAACCCTGGACCAAAAAGAAAAAAAAAATGTTGGCGAGCAACTGAAAGTCTATGTCAGAACTCGGACTCTGACCAACATCTTTAGAATGCCTGCGTACCAGGGTGATATAATTCTTTACCGTGTTGCTCAGCAGATTGAGGGGGAAGGTGGGGTTTTTGGGGGAAGAAGACATTCGATGACATCGACCGTCGTCACGGAAGGAGTCCAGTGATGACCTAGACAATCCAAAAATTTGGGATATATCCATCAGGAGTCCCAGAACGAGGAGGAGACTGCCTCTAACTGAAGCAAGTCTTACTTACGGCTGCTCTGAAGAGGCTTTCTCAGCGGAGGCGGAGTGAAAGAGTCGCCCCAGATGCGAAACAGTTTGTGTCAACCTGAAGCTCTTGGAACGATGACAACAACCGCTTATATCTCCGCCTTACTGTTGAGCATGGATTCAACATGCCAGTTTTGTATCTGCGATGATGTTAATCAGATTGCTGAACACTTTTTCTTCCTTCCTCCATTTCCTGATTATGCAGGTGCAGGACTCATGCCATGCACATGCACCACCCCCCCCCTTTCTCTCAACCCTCAACCAGTACAGGTACTTGAAGCAGAAATTGGAGTCATCATAATATTCGATTAGCTCAGTTGGTAGAGCGTTGTACACTGAAAGTACAAAGGTCAGGAGTTCGACTCTCCTATCGAATGAATCCCCTGTGAACCTACCCTTCTTGGGTAGGTTTCTGGGGAACTACTTTTTGCAGTTCTCTTCTTAGTTATATTTTATTTTAGTTTTTAGCTTCATCATCTCATGATTTGTTTTCTTCTCGTTATCCTGTGTCTGAAAGACAATGTTCCCCAAACCTATCCCTAGTTCCTGTTAATGCGAGTTCACGTACCTGCTGTGTGATAACAGTCTCTCATCCAACCAGCTCGTGATATCACCGAAATCATCAACCGCCTGTATCTCCGCCTTGATATTGAGCATTAACATTCTCTGCAGTTCTAGCTTGTGTTCCCGCCCTGTAGCGTCAAGTCTAGCCGTAGCGCATATGTCTCGCAAAACACTGACGGCCTTCCCCCTGTCCCCTTCGTTGAGTGCCGCTGTGCAGTCGCTTGGGTGGCTTTTCGTTCGTCGAGTTCTCGGTCTCTTCGCCGGGCGTTGATCTTGGAATGCTGTGTGGTTTGAGAAGTTAGCATAAGCCATGTACCTGCCAAACGATACACTCACCATCTACAGAATAAGCGATTGATTCCTGACTCGAGAAGTCTTGGCTCGATTGGCTTCCCTGACTGTTAGCGGAGTGATCTTGCGTTACCACTGTCTTTGAGAGGACATCGCTACTGCGAATTCCAAGCCATCTTAATCCGGGCACCTTGGTGCGCTCCTCGTGATCTAGGCGCTGGCTGCCGTATTGGTAAGTCCGAAGAATAGAAATCCCATGGGGATCGAAGTCGACCAAGGCCAATATGGGTAAACGTGGTCGAACTGAGTGGAGGGCCGCGAGGAACTTTCGTGTAGCAAGGTCGGGATACCCTTTTCCCTGAGAGTGTCATTGTTAGCACCGTTGCTATCGTAGAGGATGTCATAGCCTTACAGTCACCAGAATTCCACTTCCTGCCCGAGAGACTGTGTGGTAGCGCGAAGCGGACAGTGTTCGAAAGGTGGCCTGCTCGGATACGTCAATGGAGTTCTTTTGTAAGAATATACACAGATGGACACAGCATACCTCCTTCTCAATCACCAGCAGCCATTTGACGGATTGAAAGTCGACTTTTTCGACGGCGCTGATTGATGGTAGCAAAACGCCCTGGAACTGTCAGTCAACAGAGCTACTGGGCGGCATCAATACTTACACTGTCAGAAGACTCGGCACAATTGATGCTGGTACCTCCGCGCATGATAAGTCTTATCTGGCCAGCAAGAAGGCCCTTTGCGGTGGCTACCTAAAAGATTATGAGTGAAAATATTGGCTGAAAAGGTGTCAAAGACGTACAATGTTGAGATCATTACGTCCCACTCCAAGTGTGAATGCAACATTGTCCACCATTTCGTCAACCACGCTCTGTGACCTGAACAGTTCCATGTTCTGGTAGTAAATGTTCCTGTCCAAGTCAGAAATAGTTGTGCAAACACTGATATAAACACTACTGGTTACGGACCTCTTGGTGATGAGAGTTCCGGAGAGGAGTGCCTCATGGGAGAGCTCGATGATGCGGAACAAGGCTTCTGTATTTAATGTAGTCAGTGCGACGGAACTTGGCCGACATCAACTTGGTGGAGTGACTGACCAAATCTTCGAAGCTCTTGGGGGTTACGTCCCGGAAAGCGTACGGAATCCATGTGCCTTCCATCCCTTGGATTTGAGGCAGAAGCAGTCAGGTTGAACGCCTGCGCATTAGTCGACCGCCGATAGGGTATGACGATGGAACTCCCGGCACTGACAGCATCAACAATGGTCTCGAACAATGCCTCAATCTTTGTGAGCGCATCATCATTGGAGTGTCTCTGCGGTATGGCCACAACGTTGCGAGACACTCCAATGCTGCCAGATCCCACCGAAGAACGTTGTCTAACAGGAGGAAATTGTCCATGGGCGTTGCTGGTTGTGGGTTGAGAAGGGGGATTGAGGAACTGGTTGCGTATCGGACAAAAATACATTCTTGTACTAGATGTAGTAGATTGACAAACGAATGATGCCAATCAGTATACTTTTAGTAATGACCGATGGCACAAGGAAGGCAGAGCGAAGCGTGAAAGTTGAACGGGCATAAGAAAGTTCTCCGTTCAAACTTGGTCCCAATTTGGTGGATAAGCGGAAGCTCGAAGTACCTAAGAACATGTTTGTGGAGAAATAAACTGTAATATTGGTGGTACAATGAGCCCTGAAGTAATTTCCAAAATGGAAAACATCATAGGGAAGGTGGTTCCAATGTTCTCTGACTTCAAGGTGCTCCTTCCCATGCTGGTGGTTGTTGATGTCTGATGGATGTCGTTGGACCCACTCGACTTACACGGCACAGTGCAAACTGGTCCACCATCCGATCTGCAGCATCTCCAGACCCCCTCCGCTCCGACCCCACACCCCATGGCCCCCAAGATCTTGGCGCCGTTGGCCCTGTCAAATGTGTCAAAGCTCCCACTTTACGTTCCCACCCTCAAACGCCTTGACAGTCTTAGCACGCTAATTGGATTAAACTAGCCACAACACCGACTTGAACACAAATTTGATAAATTGACCAGATTTAACCGTCTTAATCAACGCAAATTAACCGTATCGCATCGTAAATTATCGAAATCTGTACTAAAAAGTTAGCATTTCAATACTAGTATATTAGCCATCGTTTTATTTGGCGTTTTTATTATCTTTGCTAATCTTTTCGTCGTACAATATAATAAAGGTTCCCAACGCAAGCCAACGAACTATTGTAAATTTAATACTCCATAACAACGAACATATTAATAATATTATAACGGCCACTAGCGTAAACGTACGTACAATATATTAATATAAACAAAATTTCGATATTACTAGCAAGCCCGTCTTACAATCTCAATCTCCCTAAAATACTAAAAAACTCTCTATATAGGCCATAAAAATATATTCGTAACTATAATAACCGTTCATCGTTCATTATCATAACTAATATCGTAAAAGAAATTATAAAGCTATTAATATTAAAACCATCCCTATACCTCGACAAAATGTATTGTAATGGGTCTGCGAGAGTATTGCACAGCGAGCAGTCGTGTAAGGTTGAAATGCTATATTTAATAGAGAGGAAAAGGACTGCTCTAGAAGGGAGCAGTTGAAAGAAGGTTTTGTACAACTAGAGCCAAGACCGTATAGGCCAAGCAAATATATAGGTTTAGCAAACTAGAGGGCTCGTATTAGCTTTAACGCTATATAATAACTCCTAATTTGGCTTAGCACGCTTAGTAATAGTTAAATATATTAACTGGGCACTAGCTTTATAATATTACCCCCTACTCCCCTTTAAGGAATTCAATTTTATATATAGAAATTAACGTAGTTAAATATACGAGAAAAGACTAAAATTTAATATAACTATACTTAACCAAATGCTTATCTAAATAAGGAAAATTAGTAATACTAGAAAAGATAAAATTTCTCTAAGCCCCCAAATAAACGTTATATAATTACTTAGTAAGAACTATTCCTATAGTTTATATACTTACCCTTTTTCTTTTATTTATTCTTCTACTTTTAGGATAATAATATTTTTAATGGAGTTACCGAAATATTATTAATAGAAGTATTTATAGGATTCCTAACGTTATTATTAACCGGAGCTTGCTTCGATAAGGAGGAAGAGGTTAAAAGAAAGGAATTGTTATTAAGTTTTTATAAATATATAAGTAATAGTGAATATTATTTAAATATATTACTTCGGTTAGAGAGGCGTTATTTTTGACTATAGTTTAAAATAGTAGTAATTCAATTGATTTTAATAATATTTAATTACAAATCGGTTTAGGCACAATATAATATTTCTTTAAAAACCGAGCGATGAAGGTTATTATTAATTCCTTAAGTTTTTATTTGAATTGATATAATTCCTAATTAATATATTTAATAGAATTAGGGTCCATATATATAAATTTAAATTCATTAATAAATTTATAGGAAAATTGAAATATAATAGTAAATATAACGAGGGGTTTCTTAATAGTAGGCAATAGGTAAGCGAATAAATAATAGAATTGTATTTTTGAATTATTAATAGCGGGGCTATTTATATAGAATTTAATTTGCGCGTTCAAAACTTAAGTTTCGAATTCTTTTTTACTCCTTAAAATCTTTTCGAAATATAGGAGGATTAGTTTATATGACGGCGAATTGAAAGGAATAGTTTTAAGGGCGGAGATTTTCAAAATTAATTATTTAATTAAAGAGGCAAATTATCGTTAGCGTTCTTGGGAATTTGTAGATTAAAGGATTTGAGGGAATTATTGTTATTAAAATATTGTAGATACGGAAATTATCGTTAAGGGACGAGAGCGATGGTAGGGAGACTCTTTAGTAATACTTATAAACGTTTAGTAATAGTAGTATTTAAAAAGAGGGTCAAATATAATATAATAGGTTTACGAAAATATTGTATAGCGAGTAATTATATAAGGTTGAAATACTATATTAAATAGAAAAGAAAAGGATTACTTTAGAAGGGAGTAGTCGAAAGAAGGTTTTATATAATTAGAGCTAAGACCGTACGGGCTAGGCAAATATGTGGGTTTGGCGAATTAGAGGGTTCGTATTAGTTTAAGCGCTATATAATAACCCCTAGTTCGGCTTAGCACGCTTAGTAATAGCCAAATATATTAACTGGGCGCTAGCCCTATAGCATCCATACCTTTTTAACTAACGAATACAATGTATATATATCAAACGAAACTATACAACGCTATCTATATTAAGAACGTTGGAAAAAAAAGAAGTTAACATTTAAAATAATATAATAAGAGCCTAAACTAATAGTAAAATAAATAATAAAAATATTGATATTTATTACAAAAATATTCGTCTTTTATAATAAATCTAGTATAGACTGATACAATAAAATTCATCGTATTAATTAGGCTCTCCACAATACTATCGCAATAATATTAAGCTACTTTAAATGTAGTAAACAATATTATATTCTTCCAACTATATTAATTAATAGCGTACTCGAAATACTAATTTTTAAAAGATAAACAAATACCCTAAAGTTTATTAAATAGTTAAAAAATCGCCTCCTCCCTATAATAAATCCCTTTCCTAATCGTAATAGTATTCTAATAATAAATAGCGCGAATTAGTATCTATATAATAAATTCTACTATACGTATGTAGGTATAGGTATATTACTTTAATATTTACCGCTATACTCCCTAGAATTCAACCCAATCGAAATATACTTTAATAATTTCAAAAAGTATATAAAGCGGGTATATAACGACGAAGGTAGCGATAGGATGGCCAACAAAGATTTTCCTATCTTCTTCCATCGAATTACTAAAAAGTGTTAAATATAGAATATAATAGATCCGTAGCTACTTTAAAAACACAAAATTAATTATAGAGGGTATTAATAATATCGATAAAAATTACACAATTCTATATACCAACTAACTAGAAGAATTTAAAAAGATTAGCAACATTATTAGGCGAGGGTAAATAGAGAGGGTAATTAAGTAATATAAGGGGTAATATATAATTTATACTATAATCTAATACTAGAAATACCAGAAGTGCATTTATCCATATAATAATAAAAAAAGGGTACTAAAAATACCAAAAATACCAGAAATACCAAGTAGAATACTAATATTTATCTATATAATAATAAAAAGAGTTAATAAAAGTACTAGAAATATACCAAATCCCCCCTTATAACTAAAACAATTTACCTCTTTTACTATATATCGATTTATTATAATTCATTTAATAAACTACCGCTAGCAATCGTATTACCCGCTAGAGAAGCAAGTACTCTCGCAACGCCAAATTCAAGGGCGGTAATATCGGTCAATCGTATTATAAAACCGTACTAGGAATCTAATATATAATAATAATAATTAGCTAAACCTATCAATTAGAGGATAGAAGGTGTACTATAGAAACTACTTACTTAAGCGATTACTAATTGCTCCTACTTAAGGAAAATTTTAATACTATTCTTCAAAGAAGTATAGAACTCTATTATAAAACCCAACTTTATAAACCACTCGACTAGCCAGTCTTTAAACGCTATAATATTTATAACGGAGGTATTTAACCCTCTAAATACCTCCCGTAATACAATTAAAGCCCGTAATACCTACGCTGCTACCATAATTTTCCTAAAATAATACTCCTAATAAAAGGTTTTAAAATATTCAATAATAAATTCGCTTAGGGTACGATTACGTAATAAAGGCGGTAGTAGAAAAGAGGGAATTAAAGGGGACTTATCCTTATCGGCAATAAAGGGGGGTACAATTAATAGAAATATTAAAAGCTATTACGAGTCTATTGTGTGTATACGGTAGTAAGAGTGGAACAGAGTTTGAGATTGTTAATAAAGGCGAAGAAGAGGTCTTATAAGCTCGGCTAGGCTGGAAGGATACTTGTATATTAGAAGCCTAGCCAATTAAGGGGCAGGTAAGTAAACGGGTTTACAAGCCCTATTAAAGGTTTATAATTTTAGCTTGCAACTAGGCTCGACCTCTAAGCGCTGGCCCCTTATATTACCCCCCAATTCCCCCTTACATATAAAAATAATAATAAAAATTATTATGTATAAAGAAATATCCCTAGAATTTAATTAGCGGCCTTTTATATATACTGTAAAGCCTCTATTTAATACTCCTAAATTAAATACCCTAAATAATTAGAATATAGTAATAAAATAATATAAATAACTAGACTTCTACGGCCAAAGTAGAGTCTATACGTATATTATATATTTATTATAAAAATTAAGCCCCTAGGAACTATTAACTTTATTATTTATATTATATACGTACGCGGCTAGATTACTATATATAATTTAATTTTATTCATCCGTATTAACTTTCGTTTTATCTATTTTACTTAGAGCGTTGCCGGTAATTATACTATCTAGTCGATAATCCGTAACCTCTTTAAGTAAATAACGAAGCCTTAATAGAATAATTTAGTATAATTTCTACCGTCTATACTTATAGGGTAATAATTAAACGACTTTTCTTCGTAGTAATTATAATTATATGTTATAATTTATTATAAGCCTATATCAGTTACTATAAAAGTTATTAATTAAATTTAAGGAACCCGCAAGGCCGGGTCTAAGCTAGCTGGCCCCCTTAATAAATAATATATTATATATATTATTTAACCCTTTCTTAATTATAGTATTTCCGGGCCGATTTTTAATTTCTCTAGGCAGTTTCTATTCGTAATTATTGTAAATTTCGTTATCGTTAAAATCTTTAACCGGTTTAATAAATA